CACCGAATAGGTGGTGCGTCGTTTGGGCTGAGGTTGGCGAGGTGGTGGTGGTGGTAGGGTCGTGGGCAATTGAGCCTGAGCTCGAGGTCGGGGTAGGATCGGGTTTGGTGTGGCCGTGTTCCTCGGATGTATTCGTTGTTGAGTGAGGGCGTTTGGCGCCGCGTTGACGAGTGGTGACACCAGCTGCTGCTGCTTCCCCATTAGCTGGGAAATTAACCTGAAGTTGGGTAAATTAACCTGAATCAGGGTCAGTGGGGATTTTAGGTAATTTTTTGGTACCATTTCTGAAGATATTGGTTGGTTTTTTTTTACCGCACCACTCTGCGACCCCTCTGACGGAGTTGTTTCGGGTTTCTTGTTTCAGTATATTCCGAAGAGTACGGGATGATCTGGGGGTTTGGCGATAAAAATTATACCAGAAACGATGTGGTAGTGGTAAAAAATAAACCGAAAATTTTGGAATTTGGTGCAAAAAAACCACACGTGCCTTTGTCGCTGCGTTCGCGGCGCTGCTGTTGTTCACTGTTTGATGTGCACGTCTGAGTGCGTGTAGCTCGTGGCGTGTGCCGATTTCGAGCACTTGAATTGGCAATCTGGAGTGGTTTTGGGCAAAATGACCTCCCCCACCGGCACCAGGACTGACTGACCCCGTGCCTGCGCCTGCTCCTGGTACATTCAAATAGACTTGATCTCCTTCGGCGACAGCCGACGATAGCTCCCCAAGACCCAGCACGGAATGGTTTCGCAGAGTCGGGAAGTAGACTAGGGCGAACATGGTGGTTTCGTCGAATTGAGCGTGACCTTTGACCTCGAATTGCAGTTGTCTAGTCTTTTCTTTGGTTCTTCTCGGGTTTCTCGGTAATTTCTCACCAAATTTTCTGGTTTCCTTGGTGATTTCTCACCAAATTTCTGGTTTTCCGGGTAATTTCTGGCCTTGAAGTTATCGTTTCGTTGTTGTGGTTGATGTTCTTCAAGCCTAGATCATAACAAAATATTGATAATTAATTATTAATCGAAGGCGTACAAGCGATTTTGCGGACAATTTGCACCCTAGTGAGAGGATTTGGATGCGGATGGAACCGGGGCGAGCAATTTTGGGTATTTTCGAATTTCAGGTAGTATAGGGGGTATAATTTTAGGTGACAGAAAAATTTTAAAAACTGAGCATTATAGTAGGGTGTAAAGCAATAGGGAAGAAATAAATAAGAAATAAACGCACACACACATACAAAAATGTAATGAAATGAAAGCAGATTGGCAATCGCTGATTTGATAGAGCAAAGAAATCAACACACATCAGATAAACGAG